GCCAGCGTCTCTTGGCCCACTTGCCGGAAAGCCGGCCCAGTTTCTTGAGCTCGTTCGCCCTCCAGCGTTAACAACATGACCTGGCCCTGGGCTGTCATTAGAAATTTCGGGGAGGCTAGCCCTGTCATGAGTTTCTTGATCGCATTTCTGGCTGTATTTCGGGCTGCGCCGAGCAAAGAAAGCGGACGGCTGAGCACAGTTGGTGGATGAGCAGCATGGAATGTCATATTGACATGTCATGGGGGGAAGGGTCTGTGGAGGTCCCCAGAGGCCTCCAGAGGACCCTTGGTGCCCAAAGCGGGCCAACACACGGCCAAAACTTCGATCCCCAAGGAGGATCGAGGAGGAGGAGGAGGAGGAGGAGGAGGGAGAAGAAGAGACCTCCAGAACTCCCAGAGGCCCAGAAAAGTCAGGAAATGCTGCAAAATCTCAAGCCTCGAGGAGTGAGGGGGATGGAGGAGGAGGAGGAGGAGGAGGAGGAGGAGGAGGAGGAGGAGGAGGAGGAGGAGGAGGAGGAGGAGGAGAAGAAGCACCGCCACCTGCAGAGTCTGCAAACCAATCAAACCATGCATCAAAAATCAACAAAACCTACCCCTCCTCCTCGTCGTCAAAGCCGTCCGAGAGGCCCGCCCGCTTCGTCCCTTCAAGCACCCGCGGCCCTAGGTTCTCGGCCTCGGCGCGGGAGGAGAAGCCAAACAGGGCGAGGCCTCGGACAAGGTCAGGCCGACCTGCCGAAGCGAGGGGAGGGGCTGGGCCGAGAGGAGGTACCTCTGGGAGCCCAAGCTTGGTGGCAATGACTTCCTTATTTGAGTCCGAGAGGGGGGCCGACGCGCCCATCGCGACGTGATGGGTGCTTCCCGCGCAAGATCCAAGCCAATTGCCGCTCACGGCCGCCCGTGCGGGCGCCAAGGCAGTCCCACGCGAGTGCACTGCGACCCCACCTCGCTCCAGGGTGGCCGACGGATCCGCACGTGGTGCAAAAAATGAGAGCTTCGCCCGGAGCTCCATCCGTGGCCGTCGGCCTCCGCTGGGAGGAACTCTCCAAGGTCCACGTGCTGGAGCCAAGAGAGGGGAACGTGGTCGAACGACCTCTCGTCGGCAATGAAGGCCTCGTGCCGCGCCGAGAAAATCTATACTTCTCTGCCCACCTCGTGACAGGCGTGGATCACGAGACGATCCTGCTCCGAGCTGCGGTACAGCTCGGCCCCGCAACGAGCATATCTGTCAGCCATCTTATTTCCGAGCCACCGGAGGAGGAGATGGAGGAGTGGATGGCCACACTCTTTGTGGACCAATGGCCAACAACGACAGGCGACAGGAGGAGGACTGGGCAGGCGGATCGATAAGGTTCAGCATGAGGAAAGGGAGGCAGATGAGGAAATGGAGGAGCGAGGAGGAGGAGGAGGAGGAGGAGGAGAAAGATAACGAAACTAATAAGGAAAAGGAGGAAGGAGGTCGAGGATGGCTGAGGAGGCGGTCGAGGATGGAGGAGGACGAGGATGTCTGAGGTCGAGGATGGCTGAGGAGGTCGAGGATGGCTGAGGAGGCGGAGGAGGAGGAGGACGTACGTAGGAGGAGGAGGGGCGAAGGGCAAGAGGGAGGAATAGGAGGAGGAGGAGGACCAGTATACACCAAAGAGTCATCAACGATGTTGAAATAGACCTTCCCTCCAAGCTCCCCCTTTCATAGGCCCCTACAACGGTTCATTTCCATTGAGGGGACTGCCTCGTTGGAAGACAACGCCACGGATCAACCTGACTCTTGCGTCTTGACGATCCTGAAGCATGCCAGAAAGCCGGTCCTCGGAATTCAACATCGAACCAACGCATTTTTTGCACCCGCATCATCCTGAATCCTTTCAGAACACACTTCCTGGTACGTTGATGATGGGAATCCGTGAAACGCTTGGACTGTTTTACAACGACTGTGCGCCGCGCTAAGGCGAGAGCCACATTTTGAAAACGGGTCGCCCCCAATCCGTGAAGCACTTGCAAGTTTGAAAAACGAAAGTGCGCCACGCTCAGGCGAGAGCTACATGTTGAAAACGACCCGCCCCCAACACGTGAAACGCTTGCAATGTTTTGCAACGAATGTGCGCTGCGTTAAGGCGAGAGCCACATTTTGAAAACGGGTCGCCCCCAATCCGTGAAAATTCTTGCAAATTTCACAACGGATGCGCGCCGCGCTAAAGCGAGAGTTACATGTTGAAAACGACCCGCCCTCCATCCGTGAAGCTGTTGCCTATTATGAAGTTTCAGAGTCATCAGTGGTGAGGGAGTCTCAGGCGAAATGCCCGGCCCGTCCTGAAAGCTGGTCTCGGGGTGCGACAGGGAAACTGTATATAAGGAGAAGGAATGGGCGAGCAGGAGGAGGAGGAGGAAGAGGAGGAGGAGGAGGAGGAGGAGGAGGAGGAGGGGGAGGTGGAGGAGCCAAGGGTCGAGGAGGATCGAGGATCGAGCACCAGCTTGCAGGTCCTCGCCGAGTGGAAGTCGGCGTGCGCGGCGTGCGACCCCGGGGTGTTCCTCGCGGCGAAGTTTGCCTCGCCGGTGGTCGTGCAGGGCGTTTCGTTTCGGGACCCCTCGCGCGGCCACTGGCCATTCGGTGGTGGCGGCCGCCAGCCGCCGCCGATGACGACGCCGACGCCGTTGCCGCCGATGGCGCCGCTGCCGCCGCTGCCGCCGCCACCGCCGCCGCCGCCGCCGACGACGACGACGACGACGGCGCAAGCAGGTTTTTGGGCGTTGTTGGGCCCCTTTGGACTTGGGAGCCCCTTTGGGGCGCCCTCCTCCGCCACATTTTGGGTGCGCCTCCGCGCTCCCCGGCCGGGGCGCGCCCCCGCGAGAGGCCCCGGGGATTCCGGCGCCAACGCCGACGGCCTCCGGCCGGTTTTGGGACCATGCGGTGAGGGAGGAGGAGGAGGAGGAGGAGGAGGAGGAGGAGGAGGAGGAGGAGGAGGAGGAGGAGGAGGAGGAGGAGGAGGAGGAGGAGGAGGAGGAGGAGGAGGAGGAGGAGGAGGAGGCGATGGAGGAGGAGGAGGAGGAGGAGGAGGAGGAGGAGGAGGAGGAGGAGGGGAGGAGGAGGAGGAGGAGGAGGAGGAGGGAGGAGGGGGCGCATTGTCCGGGAGGCTGCGCGGGCGCCGCCGCCGACGTCCTCCTGCTGTGCGAGCCCGTGTGCCGGCACGCGCGCGCAAGAACCGCATGCTCCGGTCGTGCTCCGCCGCCTGCCGCTTCCCAACAATGTTGCCCTCTACGAAGACTTCCAGGACCCCCCCCCACACCGCAGATACTCGACAAAAGAAAAAACAATTAGAGGCACGAACATCAATTTCCAGAAGTCCGTGCGGACTTTTGGATCGGCGCTGGACCTTGTGCCCTGATGCGCGAAGCGCGCCGGGGCGGCGCTGGAGGCGCAGGAACTTTGGCTTAGCGTGCCGCTCCGCTGGTTCTGGCCCACCGCGTTTCCGCGCGACACGTCATCCATGTCCCAGCCCCCAGGCGTCAACGTCGCGAGCTTTTCCCGCCCCCCTTACCACGGAACGGGGCGACACGCTATGAGTTCGCAGGGCATAGCATGTCGCGGGGGCCGCCACGCTAGTGAAGCAACACTTCTCGACCGTAGATACGACGAAGACCACGACGACCACGGCCACGGCGGCGGCGGCGAGGGTCGAGGATGCAGGATCCAGGCTTTAAGGAGGGTGGTGGAGGTTCGAGGCGTTTGGAAGCTTTTGGCCCCACATAGGCCTCCAGAGGCCTCCGGAGTCCTTGGCCTCTGGGGATCTTTTCGCGTCATTCCTTTCCCTCCCTCTCCCCCACCCCCCCCTCCCCCTCCTACCCCTGCCCCTTGGCCCCTCCCCTTCCCCTGGCCTTCGCCCTCTCCCTTCTCCCCCCTCTCCCTGTCCCCCCAAGGCAACACACTGCACGCAGAAGGGCCTTCGACGAACAACCAGGTAAAAAGCCGACAGGTTCAGGGTTTGGGGGCAAACTTCCACCACTCTGACTACACAGGAAACACCAAACGCAGTGTGCCAGTATTCTCCTCTGGTTAAGGCGGTCCCACAGCTTCGCGGCCCAGCCCGGAAGGTTGCCAGATCAGGGGGCCAGCGGCTCAGAGAGACGGGAAGAGGAGATCACACCACACCCGGAGCACCCAATTCGGTCAACATCCGCTTGCAACCGAGTGTGGACAAGTGCGTGTGGTGCACGGCCTTGCACACGAAGCTGACTGGATACGGCACAGACGAAAAATCAAGTCATTGGGCTCTGGGTCCTTGACAAGCTGCAAGTGAGGCTGGGGCGGCTCCCCCCTCAGCATGGACTGGGGGTGGGAGGAGTCAGGCAGCTCGTGTCCAACACGCCCCCTCCCCCCTCCTACTGCTCGTCGTCCTCCTCCTCCAGGCTGCCGTTTGAAGGTGTCGAAACCTGCCGCCCAGCCGAAAGGGTTGCAGGATCGCACCCGGGGTAGTGTTGCGCCCAATACCCACAGGCTCCGGAGGGCAGGTGGACTGGGGGACTTGCCGTTCGCGAGGCACGGGCAGGGGACACACTGTGGCCATACATCCGATATTACCGCACTTCCGTATCAAAGCAGAGCAGTGGAGGGAGCAGAGGAAGGGTACATGTGTACTGGTTTGGAAGATTGGGGATTGCAATTGCACGGTGCTTCTTTCTTCATTGGTATGGTGTGTTACTGCATGGTTTGCTTGCGATTTGCCGCATTTGGGATACGTTGCAGGGTGATCAGCGTGTTCGAAGCGCTACCGCACAAAGTCAACATTGCCCCCCGGTATCCAAGAAGACAACATCCCCGTGCACAGTCGTCCGACGCCTTGTTTAGAAAGATTGATTGTTTGCGTGCATGTGCTTTCTAGTTTGCGAAGTGGATTGTTGATCTAGAGTTGAAACAGGCCATTGTGGAGGACAGCTCGGGCGGGACATGTTCGAACGAAAAGGGTCAAGTGAAGGTCCAAGGGGACAGCAGCACATTGGAGGACGAGCGCGTTGCAACAACATTGAACGAACAGCCTGGAAACGCCACCGATTCCGATGATTTGCATGACAGCATCCTGAAAGAAATCGCTTCGGCACTGCAGGAGCGGAAAGAATTGTCATTTGAAGAAATCGTAGCAAACATTACAATTGGGTGTACCGAGGAAGATGTGATAACTGTTTGTTCGGACCTGGGCAGGCATTTTCTTCACACGTTCACCGCATAACACATGCTGCCTGGAACATGCCAAGACATTCTTGAAGCGGTGGGCAACACAATCGATGATATAGATAGTGGTGTCGAGGAATGTTCTGAACCTTATATGGATTGCGTCGCATCAGAAACAAACAAAGCTGAGTGTTCTCCCAATGTCGGTTGTTTGCATGTGCATGAGAGTGATTTCGTATGGTTCACCCCCCACAATTGGAAAGAGGATTCGTATTGCTGATGCTGGTTGCAATTCGGAGGCGGCGGAGGCCTCAACAAGCAAAAGCAGTTGCAATGCGCAGGTTCCCACACGTGACAAGGGAGCGCGAGGCAAATCTGAAGCTACAGGATGCTTTATACGAAAAGCTGATACAAGAGGAGAACATACTCATTAGCAGCATGAAGAGACTTGCGATTGACAGTAAAAGAAGCATGCCAGATATCTGGGTAAAGGAGTATTCGGGGCTGTAGGCAGCCCATAGCGATATCGACAGAGCGATGGCGCAACTGGTGCTGGAAAAATGGATTTTCATCACACGCAGGGGCAAGCGTGGCACCTGTTGGCCCCCAGCATTCCAGAACATGCTCATTTGTTCTGCGATCCAGACCCGCCAGAGAACCACACTAACAAAAAAACAGAGCCAGAGCAGCAGACCGCGAACAAAAAAAAACACCCACCGCAAATAGAAACGTCGACGAACAACGGCATACATTTGGCGCGTCGGCAACGCAGTATACTTCGCAAACCGGCGCGTAGTTGGCGCGTCGAGCATCGTAAAATAAGAGTGCTGACTGGCTCCGCTCCAGTGCCACTGGGCACTGCGGCTGTCGCCGTCCCGCGGCTGTCCCCCCGCCCCTGCTTCTGCCCCCCCCCCCCCGGTCGGGGGTCCTCGGCATTGCTGGCTTGGTGGCTTCCTCGGCTTCCCCCTCTCCCTTCCCCCCTCCTCCTGCGTTCTGCGCGCCCTTGCCCCCGTCGGGGTGGCGGGCCGCTCTGCAACGAAGTGGGGCACGGAGGCCGCGCGTCGCCCTCCAGGAGACGGCGCAGGCTTGGCGGGGAGGGGGAGGGGGCGAGGCGGAGGAATTTGCGTTCGATCCACGCCTCCCCAGAATTTCACAGGCCCTCTACTGGGGGGGCCCGCCGCCCTACTGTAGGCGGTAGCTGCCCGCCTGCAATCCCACATTCCGCCTCTCCGGAGCAGGGCCTCCTGCCACGGCGCAGCGGCCCGCCGCCGCGAGGGTAGGGGGCCGCGCGCGCCAGACAGCCCTCGATCGCCAGGGTCGGGGGCCAGCTTCCAGAGAGAGATGCTCAAGGGTCACCCCCTAAGTGTTTCAAGCTGAGACACAGACCCCCCTAAGGGCCTTATCCTTATCCTTATCCTTATCCTTATCCTTATCCTTATCCTTATCCTCCTCCTCGTCCTCCTCCTCCTCCTCCTCCTCCTCCTCCTCCTCCTCCTCCCCCGCCCCCTCCTACCCCCTGCCCCTGCCCGTGCTCCTCCCGCCCCGAGGAATGCGGCGAGCCTACGGACACGACCACTGGCACGACCACCTCCGCGCACTCATCACCGCAAGGACGGGCCTTCCTGTTCGAAGGAGGAGGAGGAGGAGGAGGAAACGGAAACGGAAACGGAGACGAGATGAGGAGGAGGAGCAGGAGGAGGAGGAGGAGCAGGAGGAACATTAGGATGAGGAGGAAGAGGAGGAATATGAGAAGGAGGGGGATGACTAGCGTAAACCCAGGACGCGTCACCGATGTTGCAGCACGCCCTCCCCCCAAGTTCAACTTGCGCGCGTCACGGCAAGATGTCACGTACATTGCGCGCGCCACATTGAAAGGTTACCGTTTGAGAGTTCTCAATCGTGCCCAACACCATTCTTGGAGCGTCGTGCGTCTCGGCAACCCTAAATTTTGCTAGAAGACCGTTCCTGAGACCTCAACCCCGCGAGTCAATGTGTTGCGCCCCAGCAACCCTAAACCCTGCCATAACACCACTTATGTGCCCTACAAATAGTTGAAACTGTGGCGCAGTTAAAGCGGATGCGCGCGGCGCTAAGGCGAGAACCAGTTAAAAAATGAGCCGTTCTCCGTCGTCAAAGTTGTTGCAGCATTTCAAGGCGAACTTGCGCGACTCTAAAACGACAGCCGCATTTGGAATCTGAACCGCCCTGCATGTTTGAAAGTGTTGCAGCGATCAGACTCTACCAGCACACACGGTGAGGAAGTCTCAGGCGAGACGCCTGGCCCGCTTTAGGGTCCCATCTACGGTTGCGACAGGTGGAGCCATTTACAAGGAAAAGGGATGGGACAGGGAGCGGGAGAAGGACAACGAGCATGAGGAGGAGGAGGAGGAGGAGGAGGAGGAGGAGGAGGAGGAGGAGGAGGAGGGGGGAGGAGGGGAGGAGGAGGAGGGAGGAGGAGGAGGAGAGGAGGGGGAGGGAGGAGGACGAGGACGAGGACGAGGAGGAGGAGGAGGAGGTGGTGGAGGGGGAGGGGGAGGAGGAGGAGGAGGAGGAGGAGGAGGAGGAGGAGGAGGAGGAGGAGGAGGAGAGGAGGGGAGGAGGAGGAGGAGGAGGAGGAGGAGGAGAGGAGGAGGAGACGGATATCGTCGGACGTGAGGAAACGCCCCTCCATTGCTCCGTAGCGCTAAGCGGCGAACGAGGTGCCCGAACGGGACCGCGGAGCAGAAGGAGGAGCAGGAGGAAGAGGAGGAGGAGGAGGCGGAGGAGGAGGAGGAGGAGGGGGCGGAGGTGGAGGAAGATGAGTGGGGGAGGGAGGATGAAGAGAGGGAGGATGAGGAGGAAGAGCTGGAGGAGGAGGCGGAAGAGGAGGGGGAGGAGGAGGAGGAGGAGGAGGAGGAGGAGGACCAATGTAAACCCAAAAGTCATCAACGATGTTGAAATTAACCCCCTCTCCAAGCTCCTTCTTCGTAGGCCCCATACAACGGTTGATTTCCATTGAGGGAACTGCCTCGTTGGAAGGCAACCGTTTGAAGACCTTGAAGCATGCCAAATCATTGTTCTCGGGATTTCCACGTCACAGATCAACCTGACTGTTGCGTCCTGCGAGCTACGAACTGCGAGCTGCTGCGAGCTGCGACTTGCTTGGAACGCCGCGAGGGCGCTGCAGGGTGGGGCCGGAGCACCCAGAAAGCGACTACAGCACTACTGGACCGCGTCTGGGCAATAGAATAATCTACAAAATCGCCCTCTAGATCGGCACACGTGCTAGTGCAAGCGAGTTTCATAAGAAAAGGGGCGGCGTCTTGAACGCAGCGGGCCTCAGTCAGTCCTGTCGTTGCTTCGCTTTGGAACCTGTCAGCAAAAGGTAAAGTGAAACTCAGGATGTCATCCAACCATCTTCGCTTTGGTCTGCTTTGGCGCCTCTGGGAAATCAATTTTGGATGTTCTGACGGACTCCACATCAGTACCTTGTGCATCCAGTCGCAAGAAGACGATTGTGCCACATGCTGGAACCATTTCCATTTCCTGTGCCGTTGTTGTTGGATCCAGTCGTCTATCCCAAGACTGCCCATCTGTTTTTCTGCTTCGTGTGTGCTTCGTTTTACCCAGTCCACCCAAGATTCCAAATTGGTTGTGTCATCCGCTGCTTCAGCCTCATGTCGTTGATGCTGCGCGTCGTCTTCTGCAAAAGCAATGGCCACGTCCGACGCGCTGTCTGTGCTGCGCACGCTGTCTGCACGATCTTGCGGTCCAGATGGTTCTTCTCGCCGTCCCAAACGCGCCGGGGTGAGTGGATAATCATTCGTAGCATCTGGCGTTGCGTTCGTTTCGCTCGGTTCTGCAATTCCTGTGTCATTGTCCACGCTTCACAACCATACAGAATTTTTGGCGTTACGACTCAACTAAACAAGCGTAGCCGGTCATATAAAAGAGTATCGTTTTCCAGTCAGTTCTTTTCTCAAAGCATGAAATTTGCGCCACGCACAGGCAATCTGGTTTTCAATCTCGACCTTGTTCGGTTCGTAAAACGACAATTTGCGACTCAAATATTTGGCGTGCGCCTGCACGTCGAGAACCTCAATCACCATTCCGTTGATGGAAGCTGCTTTTGGTACCCGTGTCCTCTGGTAGATCCAAAAAGCATTGTGTAGGATTTTCGTCTTGTCGGGGTGTAACTGGAGTCCCACGGCAACGGCCTCGGTGCTGAGATTTGCAATCATTCTTGACACCTGATGTAATGAAGAGGCGACAAGTATAATATCATCACCAAAACGTGAACTTGACAACAAAATCTTGTCCGCCACGTGCATCCCAATTCCAATATTTGTCTTCCCCCACTTTGCCCGCATATTTCTGATCACGTATTCTGACACGCGGTTGAAAAGTAGGGAGTTGAGCGGATCTCCTTGCTTTGCACCACGTTGTATACAGAAATGCTTACTCAATTTATCGTTGCGAACAGTAGCCGTCTGGTTCCGGTACGTGTCCTTCAGAAGATTGATGTAGCAAAATTTGACACCTTGGCTGGCACGTGCATCCCATATTCCCCCTATGTGTTACGCTGTAACGTCTTTTTGAAATCAATTGCGGCTGCTATCCACAACGGGGTCTGCCAATCCTCCGCCGTCTCCTGCATATACCGATGGTGAACAAGTGGTCGGTCGTAGATTCGTCCGGTCTGAAACCGGCTTGGTCTGGACTCTGCTCGCTGTCGAGAATTGGGAGCAGCCGATTGTAAAGTAGCCTGGAGAATAATTTGTAGAGCAGTGGGATGATAGATATAGGCCGGTAGTTTTGAGGCAACCTCATATCTCCGCTTTTGTGTAATATTTTGACCGCCGTCTTTTCCCAAGCAGCAGGGATTGGCGCATGCCCATTGGTGATGTCGTTGTACAGCATCAACAAAATATACATATATCGGCGCACCGGGTCCGGGGGCCCGGGGCCGGGACCTCGACCGCAAATGTGCACCCCGGGGGGCCCGGAGGCTCGTCGGGGCTTGCCGGGGGCCTCCCCAGTCAGACAAGACGGCCCAAGAAGCGCCCAAGACGGCCCAAGAAACTTCCAAGAGGCCTCCAAGAGGGCTCCGAGATGCTGAAGATGGCCTCCAGACGTCCAAGGACGCCCCCAAGAGGCCCCAAGAAGCCCCTAGACGCAAAAATTGGCCCATTCCCTTCGTAAAACGTACATTTTCAACAAAGTTGTCTTTTTGGCTTTCCGACGTTACAGGACGGCCCAAGAGGCGCCCAAGACCGCCCCAAGACGGCCCAAGAAGCTTCCCAGAGGGCCCCAGGACAGCCCAAGAGGGCCCCAAGACGGCCCAAGAGGCGCCCAAGATGGCCCAAGAGGGCCCCAAGACGGGCCCAAGAGGGGGCCCAGAGGGGGACCACGAACCGCAAGCTCGAGCCTTCCGCCCCAAGAGGCCGCCAGGAGGCCCCCAGGAGGCCCCTCAAGAGGCCCCAGGAGACCCCAGACGTCCAAGGACGCCCCCAAGAGGCTCCAAGAAGCCTCCAACATGCGTCCCAAGAGGGCCCCTAGACGCAAGAATTGGCCCATTCCCTTCGTAAAACGTACATTTTCAACAAAGTCGCCTTTTGGGCTTTCCGACGTTACAGGACGGCCCAAGAGGCGCCCAAGACCGCCCCAAGACGGCCCAAGAAGCTTCCCAGAGGGCCCCAGGACAGCCCAAGAGGGCCCCAAGACGGCCCAAGAGGCGCCCAAGATGGCCCAAGAGGGCCCCAAGACGGGCCCAAGAGGGGGCCCAGAGGGGGACCACGAACCGCAAGCTCGAGCCTTCCGCCCCAAGAGGCCGCCAGGAGGCCCCCAGGAGGCCCCTCAAGAGGCCCCAGGAGACCCCAGACGTCCAAGGACGCCCCCAAGAGGCCCCAAGAAGCCTCCAACATGCGTCCCAAGAGGGCCCCTAGACGCAAAAATTGGCCCATTCCCTTCGTAAAACGTACATGTTCAACAAAGTTGTCTTTTGGGCTTTCCGACGTTACAGGACGGCCCAAGAGGCGCCCAAGACCGCCCCAAGACGGCCCAAGAAGCTTCCAAGAGGGCCCCAGGACAGCCCAAGAGGGCCCCAAGACGGCCCAAGAGGCGCCCAAGATGGCCCAAGAGGGCCCCAAGACGGGCCCAAGAGGGGGCCCAGAGGGGGACCACGAACCGCAAGCTCGAGCCTTCCGCCCCAAGAGGCCGCCAGGAGGCCCCAAGGAGGCCCCTCAAGAGGCCCCAGGAGACCCCAGACGTCCAAGGACGCCCCCACGACGCTTCGCGTTACCAATTTCTTCTCACAACGATTCCTGGGTCTGTGACTCGACAGAACCTAAGCGCGCGCGAAGCGCGCGCGTGGTTCTAGTACCATGTAGAGGTTCACCGCCGTGTTTGAGCATCTCCGTTGCGATCCCCGATGTATCTGTAGACCTCCCCATCTTCAACTGCCGGAGCGTTGTTCGCAGTTCTTCCATCGAAAATTCTGGTATGCATGTCTTGGGTGCGTTTGCTCGTGTGCTTTGCTGATTGCTGCCACTATCATGTTGAAGACCGCGATAGAGCTGGCCGTAAAACTCTGCGAACGTATCTGCGATGTTTTGCCTATCGTGCTGCGTGCCAGCCTCTGCGTCCAGCATGTCTGGGGTGAGCTCGTTCTTGTGCTGCGACTTGATGCCAGCTATTTTTCGTAAGTCCCATTATTGCGATAAAATGCAGCTGATTTCAAATCTCTTTATACGTCTTTTTTCAGTTCGGACTGTAGTCCTTATCCGCTTGCTGAGTAACCGTCTCGTGGCTGTATCCTCAGGTAGCGTATTCCGTCGCTGCTCCAATAAGGTCGACACAGTCGATCTCAGAGTCGTCTGGCACTGTTGTTTTGGCATCGTACTTACAACCATTGGTTCGCAAATCAATGTCTCAATCTTCTCATAATCCGGCCGCCCACCATCTGTGAAGCATGAGCCCATATGTTGCGCAACTTGTTCCCTACCTAGGCTCTGCCTAGAAGGGTTCTTACTCGGTGTGCTTAAAGGGCCGGGCAGTGGAACCCGCCCCGGGCGGTTCCCCCAGTATCCGCCCCGCGGTTCCCCCGGTTACGTCCCCTTAGCTTAGCGTTGCTTATCTCATCTTAGCTTAGCTTAGGTTCATCTTAGCTTAGCTTAGGTTCATCTTAGCTCAGATTTATCTTAGCTAGTCTACCTTCATCTTAGCTTCGCTGAGCTTTAGCACAGCAGAGCACAGCATAGCATAGCATAGCGTAGCATAGCATAGCGCAGCATCGCATATCATAGCATGGGTGTAATTCCCTACCTAGGCTCTGCTTAGAGGGTTCGCTTAGCTTAGCTTAGCTTAACTTAGCATAGCGCAGCGCTGCATTAGCATAACATAGCGTAGCATCCAGTGGGACGAAAGCACTGGATGCTATGCTATGTTTCGACACAAGAAAACACCAAAAGCACAAACAAAACAAAAAGCAACACCAAAAGCAAACACACACATGAAAAACAACACAACAAGCAAGACAATGCAAAACAACAACAAAACCAATACGAAAGTGTAGATGTAGATGTAGATGTATTTGTAGGTATAGATGTTGATGTAGACGTAGTGCATATGTAGGTGTAGATGTAGATGTAGATGTGCGTTTCGCTGTTGATGTTGATGTGGATGTAGATGCAGGTGTAGATGTTGATGTAGCTTTCGGTTTAGATATAGATAATGATTTCCTAGATCCTCCAACTCCTAGGTAGGGTCGCACTGGGATAGTTGTTGATAAGCATATGTATTGTCAGGTGGCCATGTCGGTGGTCGCGCTTGCAAGTTCCTGCTCTGCTTGTTTGGCCGCCCCCCTGTCGTGTATCTCCACCCCACCCCCAATGCTCTTTGGAACAGATAGGATTGCTGATGGGTTTGCCACAGCCATTTTGGCTTAGATGTGTGCGCGCACGAGGAGCGTGTGTACTGCCCGGGACCTCCGGGGCCGTCTGAAAAGATCCTTTTGCATTCCATGCATCTTTGTCGCTCTCATGTCTTCCAACAATGGTAGCCGGAGCGTGGACGAGGCCGTAGAGGGAGAGCACGGGGATGTTGCAGAGGCTCCGAGGGCCGCTGAGGCCGTGACAGGCTTCCAAGACGGCACGAGAGACCAAGCCGACGCCACCACGGGAGGACAGGACTCGACCTGGGGACGAGGGTGGTGGTCCTGGAGAGGCTGGTCCTGGTCAGACGAGACAGGATGGGATTGGGAGTGCGATGACTGGTGGGACAGTCGAACAGCACTCTGGCCTGTCAAGCGAGACCAGCCCAGCCGCGACTTCTCGGCGCCGCCAGCGTGGCCCGGGATGGAGCATCTGAAGATTTACGTGGCCAATCTGCGCTCCTGGGAGAGGCGCGCCAGCTACGCGGAAGAGGCCCGAGCAGGACGTGTATTAGAGACCCTGCCGATTGACCTGCAGGGCAAGTTTGATGACGTGCGACAAGATCTGGATCACTCATCCGGTCTCAGCAGATTTGTCAGCCATCTTGAACTACTCAACGGAGAGCGCCCAGGAGACAAGGAGAGAGAGGCGCACAACAAGGCGCCCTCCGACTACGGGCTGCATAAGGGAGAAAGTCTCACGGACTACGTCGTTCGAAGAGATCAGCAGGTGGCTACTGCGGCCCGATACGGATTGACTCTTCCAGACGCTGTGCTGGCTAGATACCTGGAAGAGGGCGCGATGCTCAGCGCCCAGAACAAGATCAACCTGAGAACGATCATGGGCTCCGACAAGAGTGCTGCTGCAGTGAAGCGGGCCCTGTCGGAGCTCGACGTAGTGGAGAAGAACGCGCTGCCGACGCCAGCAACCTCGACGACGAGAACCTACCACGTCGGGTCAGACCTGGACGACGATGAGTGCGGCATCTGCGGCTTGTACGAGGCCGAGTTCGACGAGGACGAGCTGAACGTGATATTGGTGGCTCTGGACGAGCAAGACCTGGACGAGGACCAGATAGTGCAGGCGTTTGGGGAGACGACGGCACCACAACGCCGTCGAACTTGGCAGGGGTCCAAGCAGCTGAAGAACGCGAAGAGGCTTGATCGCGACTTCTTTGATCGCAGGCGCACGGATGACAGAACCAAGAGAGTGACGAGAGATGACTTCAAGAGAAGGTCGCGCTGCTCAAATTGCGGCGAACGGGGTCACTGGCGCGAGGACTGCCGGAAGCCGTTTCGCAGCAAGAGCGACAGGCTGAAGGCAGAGGCTCAGGGCTCGAAGGGCGCCAAGACGGGCTCGTTCTTCTTTGACCTAGTGGAGTCGGACCCATCGGGAACTTCAGGGACGACCTGGGCGACGTCTGCGACCTTCATGCAGGGCATCTTCGCGGGGTCCGAGGGGGGCGAGCTGACCTTGCAGAACATGGGGGACATGGCCCTCGTGGACACTGCAGCTGGTCAAGCCCTCATCGGCACCCCGAACATCGACAAGATGGTCGAGGCTTTCGCCGCCAAGGGCTTCGAGGTGCAGATCGTGAAGGCGGGCTCGGACAAGCTACCTCCCGCTCACGGAGTGGGTGGACGTGTCGCACCAGTGGGCAAGGCGTTGGTTCCAGTGTCCTTCTACAACTGCGGCGTGGTGGAGTTCCTCTTCCTACCTCATCCTTGTCCGGCTTCGCTGCCGGCCAGGTTCCTAGACTACATGAACGCCGTAGTTGATCTGGAGGCCAACGAGCTCAGGGTCGGTGACAGCGACCAGAAGCAAGTAGTGCCTATGATAAAGCTGCCGTCGGGACACAGGGCAATCTCGTTGATCGGTTGCGAGCCGAAGAACCTCAAGCTGGACAGGGGAATTGCCGACAAGTTTCCCTCCTTCGTGAGAAAGCAGGTCAGCTTCATCGAGACCTCGAGGTCTCTGTCTGACTGCTGGGTTAAGACCGGTGACACCCTGAGGAGGATCCACATGAACCCCAGGAAGGACAGATTCATTCCGAGCGAGACGGATGACTTGCCAGTACCCCCAGAGAAGTTGATCAGCTGCGCCGCGATGACTTGCCAGAGGATCGACTCGGACCCGGATCGCGACGTGGTCGAGAGCATCGAGTTCGATTGGAGGAAGGGCCCCGTTTCGGACGAGACCGGCCGCTGGATCGGCTACACGGACTTCAGGCTCCAGGCGAGCCAGGACAGTGAGGGGGCTAGAGTTTCTGATGTTGAGGGCTCTAGTCTTTCCAGCGTAGGTTCTTCCTCTCCTTGTCTCGGGGAGTCTTGGGAGTCTCGGCAGACGGGAGAAACGGCAGACAGGAAAGGGGCCAACCCGATCGCCGGAGCGACTCTCGGCTCAGGAAGGCCTGTCAGCTCTAGCCAGCTCGATTCCGCCCAGAAGCCAGCTTACGATGGCGAAGGTGATCAAGGCCACCCGCATTCCGAGGGCCTTGAAGCACAAGGCCGGCCGCCGAGCGGCGGCGATCAGTCCGGACTCCGAGGGCGAGAGGCTCATGTCCATCCAGGAGCTGACCGACGAGGACAGCGAAATGGAGCAGAATCGGGACATGCCTCCGGATCCGTGGACAGACGGAGCCTTGCGCGGTCTCCAGTACGAGGAGGAGGCGATGTCGGAGGCGGAGATCGAGCTCTTCTACGAGGGCAGTTTCATCCTCGTGCCGGCGGTCCGGTGCTGGAGGAGGTTCGTCACCAAGATGCCCATGTGTCTGAGGGTGTGTGCCGCCACGAGGCCGTTGGCTGTGGCGGTGCCTCGAGCAGGACGGCTGGCGCAGATCGTGGACCAGGAGGGCTGCCAGCATCCCCAGAGCGCGATCTGGCACGGCGTCAACCAGTATGCGAGGTACTCCAAGTGCAGGACATGCGGCGCGCCACTGTCCATGGTTCGCTTCACCAAGGGGGAGATCGAGGAGAACCGCCAGCAGAGGGACCTCAAGAAGAGGGCCAAGCAGGAGCAGCGGGTCAAGAAGGACGAGCTGGAGGAGATGGTTCCAGGAGATCGCCCGCCTCTTCATCTTGCCAGGTCGGCCCCAGCGGACGAGGAGGGCAGTTCGGGATCGGCGCCGAGGCTCAAAGTCAAGATGCCACCGATGGGAGTGGACTGGGCGCCGAACCACGGGGGCAGGGGGTCGGGCAGCGCGAGCTCAGGGGCTCCCACGGCGAGGAAGGCAGCGCCCGCGAAGGCTCCTCCAGGGTACAGCCAGGCCGAGCGGGACCTCGAGCTGAGGGCCCCTCCACCGAAGCCAGCGCCAACTCAGAGGGCCTCCGACCTGGAGATCATGCGGCAGATGATGCTCGAGGACAGGGACGTTCGGAACCTTCAGATGGAGAACATGATCGGAGCCATCCGGGCTCTGACAGAGGGTATCGAGGGCAAGCTGGACGAGACGGACGATCACTAGAGGATCCCGTTCATCGGGCATCAGACCACTACATGTCTGAGGGGCGGCTCGACGCCCAGCCTGAGCCTCAGAGAGAGGCTCGCTACATGATCGAGGAGCGGCTCGACGCTCCAGCTGCTGGATCGCGTACGACAGCAACTACGCGTCGCACGGGCGCCGGGCGGCTTCGCCAGACGCTAGCGTTGCAAAGTTAAGAAAAAAGAGACCCAAGAATATCACCCCTCGCAAGACCCGATTGGGCCTCAGAGATCCCACCTGATTCTTGATGAGAGCGATCCTGGACACCAGGAGATTCTGAGGAAGATCGGTCCCAGGAGCCCGGGAGATTGGGTGGCCCGGGGTTTCGAAGCCTCCAGGACTCGAATCGATCGAGGTCTGGGAAAGCTATCCCGGGTGTCGGGTGAGATCTGGGATCTGGTCCAGGGCTCCAGGGTTTCACTTGAGGATGTCTCGCAGCGGATGAGCTGGGTCTCCAGGGAGCTTGCTCCAGAGGAGGTGAGTGCGTGGGCGGTGCACATGGCCCTGAGGGCCTCAGGAAAGTAAGCTGAGGACCCTCTTCCCATGATGAGGAGGTTTCGAGTTGTCAATCGAGGAACGGGGGTTACCATTCTAGACACCTTGGTGGCGCAGACGTCGTTCTCGGGAACTCTTGGGGCTCTGGAGGGCTATCCCCGAAGCAGCTTAGGCGCTGCTACGTGGGAGGCGCGGGCCGGGGCCTCAGAGAGCCAGGATCACCAAGGGCTTTCGGGCCTAGTCGTCTCATCGTCTTTTACGACGTCCAGATCCCCCTGGGCCTTCATCGAATGCAAGACGAACCCCACGCAGGAAACTTTTTCTTCTCCTAGTGTTCCACGACATGTACGTCAGAAGGCCCTGCAAGTTTTGAGAGGGAGTGGCACTAGAGCTTGTAAGAGAAGGGATAGGAATGAGGTTATGTCAGCCCTCAAACAGGAGGAGCGAACGATGTGTTTAGAGCTATTCTCCCCTCCTCGCGTCTCTCAAGAGCTGGAAAGACTAGGGCACCCGGTATCCCCTCCCATCGACCAGGACACAGGCTGGGACTTGAGGAAACCCAGGGACAGACGAGGCCTCTGGTCTACCCTGAGAGCCGATCGCCCGGCTATTGTTCTCATGTCCCCGCCTTGCTGTCTGTTCAGCGTTTCCAGGACCCAGGAGCCACGGATCGATCCAGAGGAGAATCGCCGAAGAGAGCAAGAGGCGCTCCTGTATCTCCTGATCTGCGTTCAGGTGGCCGAATATCAGATCCACCATGGGGGAGAATTCTGGTTTGAACACCCTCAGTCAGCGAAGAGCTGGGGCACTCACATGCTGAGACACCTTTTAAGCCGCCCGGGGGTCCAAACGGTCACGGCCGATCAATGTGCCTTCGGCTTATCGGTTGTCCCATGGGCTCTGTCGAAGAAGCCTACCAACTTCGCTTCTAATAGCCCTGAGATTATGACAGCCTGTGCCCGTCGGTGCAAGGGAGATCATCAGCACCAGATGCTCGTCGGCGGTTCCAGGACGAGGGCTGCTCAACGCTATCCTCGTGAGCTGGTGATGGCGGTGACACGCGGAGTCGAGCTGGCGGCAGGTCGACTTCTGATGAATCTGAGCAGCCCGGCTTCCGAGTGGTCAGGTGCCAACTATCCGGCATCCGCCGAGCCTGTCACCCTCGATAGTGACTCCGAGGAGGAGCCAGAGCTGCCTCTCGAGGAGCTGATAGAGCCCGAAGAAGAACCCATTAAGTTTCCGAAAGCTCGATCTCAGGAGGCCGAAAGAGGAAAACGAGTCGACCCAACGGCCCCCCCCACAGAGGTTCAGAATGATATTCACAAGGTGCACGTCAATCTTGGACATCCTCGCAAGTCTGAGTTTATTCGAGCTCTCAAGATAGGTAAGGTGAGGGAGGAGATCCTTAGATGGGTTCAGAATGAGTTCAAGTGCCCCCAGTGTGACTCCAGTGCGAGACCCCACTGGCGCCGCAAGGCGCAGCTGCCTCGCACGTACCGTTTCAACAAGCTGGTGGCCGTGGACCTGCTGTATATAAATGCTTTCCAGGAATCCATCCCGATCCTGAACGTCATAGACCACGGATCCAACTACCAGGTCTGTACAGTGTTAAGAAATGAAACGGCATCCCAGGTCTGGTCAGCTTTCGTCAGAACGTGGATTCGTCCTCTGGGGATACCAGAGCTGGCAATGACTGACGGAGGGCCCGAGTTTCAAGGGGCTTTCGCGAGGGGCTTGGAGGGTCTTGGGATTTATCAACACGTTTGCGACGCTACGAGCCCATGGCAAAACGGAAGATGCGAGAGGCACGGGGGCATCGTGAAGCAGGGCCTCTTGAAGGCCTCTAGTGTTGCGGTCTTGCGGGACAAGGGAGAGCTCGAGGATCTGCTATGCGAAGTGCAAGCGGCTAAAAACAGGTTCACTCACAGGGGTGGTTTTACGCCATATCAGATGGTGTTTGGAGAGAACCCCCGTCTCCCACATGCTCTCCTCTCAGACGATGCCATAGATGATATAGGAGTCCAGGACCTGGCCAGGGGGACGAGAGACGGGTCGTCACCAGCCTCAGCTTTTGCCCGCAAACATCAGTTGCGAGAGGAGGCTCGCAAAGCGATTATGTCATTCGATGTTAGAGAACGTCTCAAGGCGGCCAGCAACTCGAGAAAGCACGCCGACAAGGTTTTCGTTCCTGGATCCTGGGTCTACGTTTGGCGAAGACCGAGTCCCGGGTCCGGAGAGGGACCCAGGGCCCGATGGACCGGACCAGGGGCCACCGTTTTCCAGCAAGGAACCACGGTATGGGTCGCGATGAGGACTCGACTTTTAAAATGTTCAGTAGAACAAGTAAGGCTGGCTGCCAGAGATGAGGCCGACGGAGCTGAGCTTCTCGACTGCTCAGAGTTGGCCGATTTAAGAGACGAGCTTCAGCGCCCGAACGGCAGGGTCGGGGCCGTCGACGTGGAGGGAGAGGGCCCTCCTCCCCCCGAGGCCTGGGGCGTCACGGCTGACGTCGCGAGGCCCGTTCCAGAACTGCCGCTGGCGACGGCGGAGCCTTCCGCCCAGTCTTCTCCTCCAGCAGCGCCCAAGGGGGCGTCGCTTCAGAGAGACGCGGGCGTTTCGACTGCTCCATCTCCTGCCCGCCCTCCCTCTTCTCTCAGATCCATACCATCCGCGTCTTCTCTTCCTCCACTTGCTTTTGAGCCTGAGAGGGCCTCCAGGGGCGAAGGACCTCGAGCGAGGCCGGCCTCTCTTCCCAGCGACCCGGGAAGCGAGCCGGCGTCGTCAAGACCCAAGCTGACTCCGTCGGAAGAGTTACCGAGTCAGACCGGGCGCGCGCTGTCAGCAGCGCGAGAGATAGAGGGAGGGAGGAACCGATCTTTCGACGACGTCCCACATTGTATTCTGAGGAGGGCTGCGAGTAGCTCCTCGGCCGCCACCGAGTCCGGAGCCCCCCGCTCTCGAGAGGGGGAGATCCAGATCTCCACCGAGGGGGGCTCCAGAGTCGGAGGGGCAGCCTGAGGATGACCCAGATCTCAGCACCTGGTGCTCACTTCAGCCCGACGAGGCCCAAGACGAGACCCTGCGGGAGGAACTCTGTGGATGGTACCACTGGGACCCCGAGGCCTTCGGAGAGAGTTATCCTACCTACCCTCGTCCTTCTCCCGGGTCGTCGTCGCCCGATCCTCCCCCCGCCCGCCGAGGAGCCGAAGTCAACCTGGAGAATCTTAGCGAGGAGGAGAGGAGATTGTTTTCTTTCTCCGATACTAAGGAGTGGACCAGCATCCTGCAGTCCGGGGCTGTCCGAGTCGCGTCGGCCCAAGAGGCCCAGGTCATAGGGAGACGCCATCCAGATCGCATCCTCGGATCGAGAATGGTCAGGAGATTCAAGCCCCAAGAGGGCGTCGGAGCGGCCCCAGAGGCCAAGTCAAGGTGGTGCGTCCGAGGGCATCATGACCCGGACGCCGCAGATCTGCAGATTTACGCACCGACGCCGCAAGCCGAGAGCCTGATGTTGACCCTTCAAGCTATAGCTTCGCTCGGGTGGACACTCGAGGTGGCGGACGCAAAGAACGTTTTGCCAGAGTGATCGTTTGAGGAGGCCGTCCGGAGCTATCTTCTGTGAACCGTGCCGCGGTTTAGATCTCGCCCCAGGGGAACTTGTGGAATAGGTCGCGCCGGTATACGGCCTTAATGACGCCCCCCTCTTGTGGCACAGGGCCCTCGCGGATTTTCTCGTCTCGGACGGCTTCGAGAAATCGCTTCTGGAGCCCTGTCTCTGGGTGAAGCGTAGTGCGACGGGGTCCACTCTTTCGATCATCCCCATAGAGGTGGATGATTTGATTCTGGCGTCAGATCCCTCCGAGCGAGAGGGATGCCGCTCGAGACTGACGGGCCGTTTTAAGTTTGGGAAGTGGAAGATCGGGAATCCGACTTCGCAGGCCGTCACTTGAGACAGGTCTCAGGCGGGAAGATTCTCGTTGATCAGGAGAAATACATTCTCGAACAGTTAAAGCCCATGAGACTTGACAAGAGTCGCAGAGGCGACCTGCAGGCTCTGTTGACTAGTGACGAGATCAAGGGTTACAGAACCATGATCGCGCAGAGTCAGTGGAGGGAAACCAGACCGGATGTTGCGGGAGGGGCTTCTCTTCAATCTGCGGCGCTCCCGACTCCCACAGTCGAGGACGCCCTGCTGTGTTGTAAGATCGTTCGGCATTTCAAGTCTAGCGCGTCACAGCACATAGTGATCTGGCCGATCGATCCTCTCACGGTTACGTTTGCCACGATTTCCGACGCCGGGGGGCCAGGGTCAGCCCGTCGAGAGGGGGCTCAGGGGGTTTTTCTCGTTGTCGCGGCGGACGCAGAGATCAGAGGAAATAAGAGAGCTAGGGCCTCCCTTCTTGCCCTGCGATCAAGCCGACTCAAGAGAGTAGTTTCATCCACCAGCGCCGCGGAGACCCTGAGTCTCTCATCAGCGCTCGCAGAGGCCCAGTGGATACAGATATTGTGGCGTGATTTGTTGTTCGGTGACGTGAGAAAGCCCGATTGGCATCTTGGTCAGTCTTCTTTCTCGGTCATCCTCAGCTCTCAGTGCTCTCTGGCAGAGAGTGCGTCCACGATTTCGGTGGTTGACGCGAAATGCGTCTTTGACACTCTCAGTAGGAACAGTGCTGGCTCGAGACAAGATCGACGAAACGCGATCGAACTTGCCGTGGTGAGAGATGCGATGAGTTCCCTCGGATCCCAGATACGATGGGTGCCCCACGGCCGCATGGCGGCCGACAGCTTGACTAAGGCCGACCCTTCGAAAGGCAACCTAGCCCTGGCTGACTTGCTTTGCCGCGGGACAGTCTGCTTAGTTGACGACGACAACCACCTTTCGGAACGTGCGCTGAACTCGTCCCTGAAGAGCCGTTCGCGACAAGCCTCCAGGAGAGAACTGGCCCGAGAGGCCGAGAGCAGGACTCAAGAGTGTGTGACTAGCTTCCAGGGTATCGAGAGTTCGCCCGTGAGAGGGGAGGCATCCTAATCCCTGTCTGTCCCACTAAAAGTGGTCCCGCTGTCGTGTATCTCCACCCCACCCCCAATGCTCTTTGGAAAACATAGGATTGCTGATGGGTTTGCCACAGCCATTTTGGTTTACATGTGTGCGCGCACGAGGAGCGTGTGTACTGCCCGGGACCTCCGGGGCCGTCTGAAAAGATCTTTTTGCATTCCATGCATCCTTGTCGCTCTCACGTCTTCCAACACCCCAGGCCCCCGGAGAATCGAGCTTCGCATTGAAAGTGCGCGGTGGTCGGAACCAAGATCAAGCATCGCAGTCGTACCGCAATTTTTGATTGTTATCCAAAGCCGGTGTTTTGCCAAGAAGTAATCAAGGTGCACGTGCGATTTGTCGGGCCTCGTATGTGTCCAGCGGGTATTCGGATGTTTCTTGAAAAACGTGTTTGCGATCCGGAGTCGCCGTGCCTCTGCCCACTTCTTTAACCATTGTTCCCGCGCATTTTTTGTTCCATAACCATATTGGCCACAACTATATGTTGCAGACTGGACCTGTCCGACTTTGCGTTCGTGTCTGCACCAACAACAAAATACTATTTCAAAGCGTCAGCTTCCGACAGTATTTTGGCAATGATGTCGTATTCAAGTTGGACGTACTTGTCGGCGTACCCACCGTGCGGAAAATAGGCATTGACCATTCGTATTGGCTGCTTGTTTGGAATAGAAACGTCAACATGAGCAATTCTTTCACTAATAGGTTGGAACTGCCGAAGATGATTTTTCCATCGTTTGCCCACTCCACGCGTTGGTTTCGTATTCCCAGATGCTAAGAACAAGTGCCCTCCCGACGTTTCCCAAGACTCCTTCGCAGTTGCACGCATCGTTTCACAAATTGCAATGATATCCCATATTGCGCCGCCAATTTTGAAGAGCAGTTCTTCGAATCTGTCGTCGTCGGTCATGCCCCGGACGTTCTGGTGAAGTATGATGAAATCTTGGTATTTGGTAGGGCTCTGCATTTCAATGGGAGGCCGGCTCGAAAAGGCATGTGCCGGGAAATCACCATCGACGTTAGCATATATCCCTCTCCCCTCTCCTCTTCCTCCAAGCGTTGATGTAGTGGTCATTTTCGTACTGGTATTCTGCGGTCCAGGCCGCCTTTCTGGATGAGCACTGGGGTGTCACAGCCCATGTTTGGACCGCCATTTGGTAATGTCGTTATCCACGTGCTGCTTGACCTGCATAACCGATGCATCATAATCCCACGCTCCCCCATCCGTCCTCCATGTGACTTTCTCGCCCATATACTTCACTACCCCTTTCTCCCAGAGTATGCGAATATCTTTGAGACTGTGGCCCATAATCTCATGGAGCTGGTGCTTGGCATACCCCACTATCTTGTCAAACTCACGTTTCTCCAAGTATTGATTTGCATGGAATCGTATGTCGTCATCGTTCGCCCACTTGTATGATTTCTTTCCTGTTTGCCGTAAGCACCCGTTCTTGGCGCCGTTCGTGTTGAACTGCAGTACCCCGATCTTCGCCGACTCCGAGAAACAGAAAATATCGTTGCACTTGGCGGTATAGTCGACCTCCTCTACAATCTCTTTGAGGCGTTGCCGGATGGCATCCTCGTCCGCATTCTCCTTCAAGCCCTCCGCAATGACCTGGAGGATCCGGGTATCGTCATCGTCATCGTCTGTTCGAGCTGTCTTACGCATCGTGCCACTGTTGATCATGTTCTTCATGCCTGAAATCTCGGCTTGGATCGTCGCGTTGGTGTTCTGGATGTTTTGGACCTTAGTTTCTATGCCTTTTACCCTTTTCCACTGCTTGTTCCGCTGTGGCCTGAGCGAAGTTGGCAATGGTCTTTGTGTTCACCATGCCATCGGTGAGCTTCGTAAGCATGTCATACATCTTTTCGATCTTCTGGTCCCGGTTCATATCTTCTTCAGTCCCTCCTGATTTTCCATATTATTTGTGTTTCTTCTCATCTGGGGAGCGGCCTGTAGAGCCCTCAGCCTTATGCACTCCAGCTCCCCCAGTATGCATGGTGTGTAACAATCCGGCGTAATGAGCAAAGAGAAAATGTCTGGAATAATGTAGTAAGAGTTTTGGGATGTAGTAGTATTTGGGATGTGGGCCGTTCGCGATACCAAAATACGGTCTGGAATCGTGCCATAACGCCGTTCTTGGTATTTCAACACCGCGAATCAACATAGTTGCTGCACCCGCGTAAGCCCGAATCCTTCCAAAGCACCATTTCTGGTGCGTTGATCATGGGAATCCGTGAGACGCTTGCAACTTGTTGAAAAGAATGTGCGCGGCGCTGAGGCGAAAGCCATTGTTTGAAGACGACCCGCCCTCAATCCTTGAAACTCTTGCAAATCTTGAAAACGGATGTGCGGGGCGCTAAGGCGAGAGCCACATTTTGAAAACCACCCGCCCTCAATCCGTGAAGCTCCTGCAAATGTTAAAACGAATGTGCGCGGCGCTAAGGCGAGAGCTACATTTTGAAAACGACCCGCCCTCAGTCCCTGAAGCTCTTGCAAATTGTTGAAACGAACGTGCGCGGCGCATGGCGAGAGCCACATTTTGAAAACGACCCGCCCCCAATCCGTGAAACTCTTGCAAACTGTTGAAACGAATGTGCGCGGCGCTAGGGCGAGAGCCACATTTTGAAGACGACCCGCCTTCAATCCATGAAACTCTTGCAAATGGTTTAAACAAATGTGCGCGGCCCTAAGGCGAGAGCCACCTTTTGAAAACGACCCGGCCTCAATCCGTGAAGCTCTTGCAAGTTCGTAATACGAATGCGCGCGGCCCTAAGGCGAGAGCCACATTTTGAAAACCATCCGCCCTCAATCCGCGAAATTCTTGCCATTTTCGAAGCTTCGGAATCAAGTTTCGGAATCATAAATGGGGAGGATGTCTCAGGCGAAACGCCCGGCCCGCC